GCTCTCATACTTACTGACATCTTAGCAGTCCTCCCCCAGAATCCTCTTTCTGGATGACATCTAAAGCAACTACACCCTGCTGCCTAAGTCTGCTTGTCAGGTGGTTTGTGCAGCAGAAATTCAGGGCCATGAGACTGTGGGTTGACTGTCCAGCAATTACCATGATGTAGAGGTGGAGGCAGTGGCGGTGGTGACAGTGATTGCAGTGGCGAATCAAAGGGAGAAATATAGAGCAGTAAAGACATAGATAAGGAGAAAAAAAATCCACAGAGGTCATGGTTAACGTTTGAGGTTAGTGCAAAGTGTCAACAGGGAAGTTAATTTTTTGGACAGCCTAAAATAACTAAGGTATTTATTTTTAGAACATCTCTAGGTTCAAGATGAATTTGGGCACTAGCACACTATTTCACACATTTCATATATTTTAGCAAGTACTGGAAGTAGTATTCAAACCCACATTAGTTTACACTCATAGCCTCGGTTCCCTATCACTACTCCTATCCACTTACCCCCCCCCCTCCTTGCTATGCCTACTGGAGTCCATGCTTCACCTGGCAGACTAGTCCCAGTGGCTGCCTTCCACAGCAGGAGATACACTTCTTCAGGAGTGACCCTCCTAGATGTCTCTGATGACCTGTAGATAACCATCCCATGGGATAAATCATCCTTCACAAAGAAAGACATGTTGAGTATAGAGAAGGGTGGTTTACATCTCTTCTCATACCAAGGAGTGAATTTCTGCCAAAGGATAATGGTGATAGAGACCAGGGCTTGTTTTTCTTGGAGCAGACTCAGAAAGCAGTGAGATCTTGGAACCCAAGAGTGGAAAAAACACTCATGAAGGTCAAGAGTCAGAAAGGGAGGTTAAGGAAACAATTATCTTGCTAATAAGAGCATTTTTCTGCCATTTTCCTGGCTGAAACTGGTTATTGTCTGTGTGTGTACAGGGGAAGAGAATGTTCTATGAGTGTGAGGGGGTCAGTGTTGCATGTGGTAGACCAGGGTGCAAAGCAGGAGCAATGAGCTTCACAGACAGGGATTAGCACACTAGACTGGCCACAGAGTGTAATATATTCTGGTCTTTGGCCAGTTTCTTGCAGGGTTGTCAGGTCCAACTTCTGACTGACCTTAATTCTAAAATCCCTTGGCAGTTTCTGTTCATGCCAGTTTAGCTTGCTTGGAGTTCTCGCCTGACCCTGTTACTTTTTTTTTCAGGGATTTCTGATTCCTGTGGTTCCTGGAGTGTTTGGTGTACACAGAATAATTATTGAAGGGGATTGGCTTTTGACAGCCCAATTTGTGGCTTCTCTATAATGCTGACAATTCTCAGACTTGTCTGGTATTTCTGTCTAAAGCTGTTATATCTCTGACCAATTGTCTTTTTCATGTGCATAGTTAGATGACCTGAATTTCCATGTAATTGGATCCCTGAGACAGTGAAATTTTATAGATCAATTTTAGACATCTGTTGGATATGTCTCCTCTCAAGATTAGTTTATAAAAATACTATTCAGTTTTTAAAAATACAATTTAGCCACTTTCAAATTAGAAAACCTTGGAATTACTGTAGCAAAATACTCCCATCCATAAGAACCATTTCCATCAATACCAAGTCCTATTTCTTGTCATTTCTCTAATATTGTCCAATTAAGAACAATGTGAAACAAGAAGCGCTCAGAGATGCTGGTTCTAATTCTCATCAGCAGCAAAGGTCAGTGTTCATTTCATCTAATTCTCCTTCTCTGGGTCTGAAACCTAATGTTGCTATGCAATTGAGCAATCGAGTTATACAAATGCAGTTCCTTGGCCGTAAAAATCCAAAATGATCGATGGTGGGTTTCACATTAATTTTTCAAGTGCTTTGATTGCTCTAAGTTATTAGAACATTGTGTTGAGTCATCTTTTTTGAGACAGACATTACCCTTTTAATTTCCCATCGATTTTTAATCTGTCGATCAGCTGATCTGTTGGTTTATTTTAGAAAATCACTAGGTAGAGTAGAGGCGGTTCTCAATTAAGAATCTGTCAGTTTATTTCACATTGCTATTCAAACGGTCAAACTCGTTTTTCCTCCTGCATCTGACTGGAGGCCAGTCTGTCTTCAGAGGTGCTAGCCAAGTCTCCCGAATAGCCAGAGGGGTGGAATGATGAGAAAATCCCCTTCAAAAGCATATAGGTGCCATCCTGAAGAAAGTTTGCCCCAAATGATTAGACTATGGTGTTTTATATTGTCAAAAAAAAAAAAAAAAAAAAAAACAGAGAACAAGACAGCAGGAATCTGGTAAGAGTATAGACAACTATTTCACTTGGGTGGGGGCTGGTGCTTAAGTCTTAAACAGCAGACACTTACTGTCTCACAGTTCTGGGGGCTGGAAGTCTGACATCAAGGTGTTGGCAGGGCTGGTCCTTCAGAAGGCTTGGAGGGGGACCTGCTCATTCCTCCTGTCTCCTTCCCCAGTCTCTGCCTTCCTGTCCACAGAGTTCTCCCAGTGGGTGTGTTTCTTCCCATGTTTGCCTTTCCCTGTGTGTCCGTGTTCCTGCTTTCTCCTATGAAGACACCAGTCATTGGATCAGGACCCAACCTACTCTGATATGATCTCATCTTAACAAATTGCCTTTCCAAATTCATATAGATTTACATGCTTTACACAATCAAACAGATTATGTCATTTCAGTCTTCCACTCCAAGTTCACCTCCTCAGAGAAGCCTTCTTTGGCAGTGACTTTTAAAAATAGCGAGCTCTTCTCTCCTACTCTGTCCCCTTACTCTGTTTCATTTGGCCTGATTTAGTACTATATGACATATGTATACGGTTGTTCCTTGTTTCTCAGTTATCATCAGGACTGGAAAGTAATTTTGTAAGAGCGATGATTTGGTTTATTTGGGTCACCACCATATCCTGGGCACCTAGCACAGCCTGTTACATAATAAGCATCAAACAACTATTTGTTTAAGAAATGCATAAACATTGCTTCAGTCTGTACAGGAGCGATTCGTGACTAGTCAATTAGAAGAGCCAGATAGTGAGCTCACTGACTTGATTTGACCATGGCCAGAATGGACTAGGTGGTTGCACACCTTGAAGACAGGTGCTAAACTTCAATCAGGAACTGAATGTAACCTATTTATAATTATTCTTATAAATAAATGTTAGAAAGAATCCTAGTAATCTGTTTCCCAATTTATCCTTCCTCAGTGGAGAAACTTGGTGATGAAATTAACTGAATCAGCTTTTTTTCTACTACTTACCTGGCATAAGTCATCATCTGCTATTGGCAAGTAGAAATCTGGCTCCTTTGCAGGAGGTATTAAGTTCTGGCTCATCTGTTTGAATGAGTAATAATAAACATGTATATTTGTTGTATGGAATATCAAGATTTATAGTTTCTTGGAGTCAATATTGAGTTCTACTTCTCTTGACTCAAATTCCTTTTCTTTAATCAGTGTATTTAGAGAGCTGTCTTACTAGTCAGCAATATCGGCTTTCACTGGGAATCAAATAAAAAACTATGGCTTCGTCTTCTCATGGTTTCTGGATAGTATAAGGAAATGCATCCTATCAAAGTAGATGCTCCTACCTTGGAGCCAGGCACTGTCCTGCTGTGGGCATGTGGGATGGGAGCCCAGGATGTACAAATACTTCCTCTTTGTGGGCATTTACTTCTTTACGTAGATTGTCTTCATCTGCTCAAAAAAAACAGTAAGTCGTTATTAATATAATGCACAGTTAATCATTGCAATTGGAGAACAGCAGCAAATGACATATATAATAAAAATTGTAAATATTGTGGCTAAAGACAGAACATGAGGTTAATTCTCCAACATTGTAAAACATCACACAAATCTATAGATCGGAACTCTGGCTGCACATCTTTTGTGAAAAATCTGTGATGAATTTAAGTGAGGTTCATAAACATTAGAGGTGTCAGCATAGAAATGAAGGCTAAATCAATTCTCTGTTTTGGTTATATAATCTCATTTATTCACCATAATTATTTCTATCTAGGTGAAAAGTTTTGAGTTGAAACAACCAATTGGTTATAGCCATCAAAGATACAATGTGAGATTAATTGGATGTCGCTCCATGAAAAATGTGAGGAGAGCAGATTCTTCAGTGAAGCACAGCATTCTTAATAGTTATTCCACACATTAATCACAGAACCACCACATCCAGGATTCTGGAAGATAACATATGCCAAGGGAAAAATAGTAGCAACATTTCAGAAGGGAAGCTTGCATTCATTTTCTGGCAAAGACACAAAATAGGCTGCAAGGACACAGAAGGATTTATCTATGTATATATGAATGTATGTCCCCGCCTTTCAAGACTTGGTGAAAAAAAAAAGTCCCCTTTAAAGGGATCTTTCCCAGACACCTGGGTGGCTCAGTGATTGAGCCTGATTGAGCCTTCGGCTCAGGGCATGATCCCCGGGTCCCAAGACTGAGTCTTGCATCAGGCTCTCCCCACTGCCCCAGCCCTGGGGAGCCTGCTTCTCTCTCTGCCTAGGTTCCTGCCTCTCTCTCTGTGTCTCTCATGAGTAGTTAAGTAAAATCTTTAAAATAAATAAATAAATAAATAAATAAATAAATAAATAAATAAATAAATAAATGGATCTTTCCTCTGGGGAAGAGACTTTACGGAGTTTTACTTGGCTATAAGTTTAGGCATTCTAGGATGGCTGATATTCATAAACAGATTATTTTGAAGCAATTATTTAAACTGTATATCGACAGGAATTAAATATTCGAGTACAGAAAAGCTATGGAAGTATGAGTTTCCCGTATTCCCACATTTGCTGTTTGAACTGTACAAAGGCGGGAAGAAATTCAATTCTATTGCTCATGAGAGTGAATTTAAAGTGTGTAAAAGCTGTTGCCTCTTTCTGTGGCTCATGTGGAGACTTGTCCCTGAGGAATAGAGCATCATTTAACACCTTAAGAGACTCTGTACAAGATGCCCACCCTGAGGGACAGTCACTAAAACAGTTCTATGTTCCAGGCATGGTCATCATGGGGAGACACTGCTATTGGCAGGACCAATTTCTCCTTCATCTGGAAGCAGGAAACAGGATTTGGGGAGCCCTGGCTGTCAGGACCTGAGTTCTCTATTCTCCTTCTGCCCAGCTGCTTTGAGAAGGTAAGTGTATGTCATGTGTTTTGTGCTAAAATCCTCCACAACCCCCACTGAAGCATTGGGAACCAGGGATTGTGGGAGCACTTCCTGCTATGAATCTGGAGCAGGTTCACTCTTTGATCTTGTTGCTGCCATTTTACCCACACCTCACTCTTTGGCTTCTGGAGAGCTCTAGGAGGGTTAGCCCCCCTCAAAGTGAAGGGGGCTGTATGGGGAAATAAGAACCTGGTCCCTCTTCCCCCATGTAGGACATCTCTGTTTGTGTTTAGACTCCAGAATCCTCAGGGATCAGGCCTGCTTCTAGAGAACCTTTCTAGAAATAAAAACATGCCCTCCCAGTGCCAGGACAGAGAAGAGCAGAATGACAGGGGTAAATGTGACTCTTTGGCAGATCCCTAAAATGCCCAGGAGAGAAGGAACTCACCAAGTCAACTGCACAGTTTCCAGGGTCAAATCCAGCCAAGATTCACCCTGACTGGAACCCAAATGAGCAATGGCACCCAGCTCTGCACTGCCGCACTCTGCCTCTGATGCTTCCCAAAGGAATAAACTCAATCTGTTCAGTGGAAAAGACTGGGAATAAAAATTTTACATGTGTCTTTCTCTCTTCCCTTGCTACATCTAGGAGGCTCAAAAGGACAGAACAGTCAAGCATATAAATCAGTTAAAAAGGTACATTTTTTATTTTGTAGGCCATGAGGGCAACAGAAGATGATACTATGCAGTGATCCTGTATTTTCATTGTCTGGACCAGAGAACCAGTGGAAACTCTAAAATCAGATTTAGGTGGGAGGAATGAGCCTGAATTTCCTAGTTAATTCTATTCATGCAAGTGTGTAAAGGGCTGGTCCCTATAGTTGTGGACAGAGGCAGAGTAATGAGGGGGTGGATTCAGCCAGAGGTCTCTGTGAAATGCCCAACAGCACCCTGCTTTTCTCCTTTCCAGCCCTCCACACCCCTATAAACATCTAATTTATTATTCAAAATACTTGATCTTCCCAAGCATAAGCTCCGTGACAGCAAGAAGTATATATTCTGCTCGTTAAAATCTACTTTACTCTCTCACCTAGATTTCATGACTTATAATCAGTACAGTTTGTGGTTAAGAACACCCATCATTGGAATTAGAAGACCAAGCTCTACTGGAAACTAGCTGTGTGAACTTGAGAGAGTTGGTCAACCGCTCTGAGCCTCAGTTTCCTAATAAGTAAAATGATGATAATAGCACCTGTTTATAGTAAAAATGGGATGAAATGAACCCCATGGGGTCCTTAGCACAGTGCCTGGAACATCACAAGCCCTCTATAAATGGTTGCTATTATTGCAATTTTAATTATTATAATACTACAACATGGAGACTCTATTACAACACTGAACTAAGAAATACCAAGCTTAGGCTCCTGTGTACAACCATAGAGTCATGCATTGTTCAAAAAGAGACAACAAGCATAAAATGGAGTCACTTATGCTAAGCCTCATCCCAGGAAACCAAGACAATACCTAATTGCAATGTCAGTCTCCCCCAGCAATGTAACCTATTACTAATCAATCTAGAATTATCTGGTCTGCACTAATAAAGCAATCCTCTCTGTAGATCCCTTCCGTCCCCCAGATGAAGAAGGGAAACAATCCTCTCTTTCCTCATTCCTGCCCATAAAACCCTCCCATTTTGTCCAGCTCTTCAGAGATACTCTCTGGTTGCCAGATGGGATGCTGCCCAGTTTGTGAATTCTTGAATTAAGCCAATAAGATCTTTAAATTTTATTCAGTTGAATTTGTTCTTTAACAACATATATATATGAATATTCTTCCCCATACTCCCTTGTCACCTCTTCCTTCTCCTTCAATAACACTTTTACAGCTTCAGACCAGAATCTTCCCACTTAATTTGGATGATTAATTTTTCTTTCCAAATACAACACTTATTTCTCCAGGGCCCTCACCTTCAAGTAATAAGATTTGTGGAGGTCATCTGAGTGGGCAGCGCTCAGCACAATATATGAGAGCACATTAGCGGACTCAGTGGCCCCAAGGCCACTCTGGCTTGTGATTTACAAGGTGTAGCATGGAAGGCAGGGACTGAAGCCCAGGAGAACTGTATATGGCAGCAGAGCTTGGGGCAGAGCCTGGATCTTGGTTCCTTATCCTCAGACCAGATTGCACCTCTGTGCAGCATTCCCTCCCGCTTCATCTCTCCGAGCCATTGCAGCTCTGCCCAGGCCAAAGAGGCAGCTCTCTGAGGCCCCAGACTGCCGTGGGATTGGCAGATTCGGCAGCCACCTGATCCTCTGCAGAGCACATTTACTACCAGCAGCCTTGGAGTCAGCACGTTCCTTTGTAGGTCCCGTGCACCACACCCAGGTGCAATGTGTTTGGCTGTGAGGTTGTGACACTGCAGGTTCCTTTGTCCTTCTCATTATCGATGAAGATTTCCTGAGAAGATTCATTAAATATTGAGCTAGAGGTCTGCTATCAATTTGGTGCCACAAGAATACAAACAAGGAGAATTTCTAGGCTGATTTGATTATTAGTGCTCTGAAAACGTATGTAATTGCATACATTTACCTGGCATACATGTGGGGGCAAAATACACAGCCGTTAATCCTACATTATTCAGGATAAGCTTTCTGAAGCGGAACTTCTTCTTTATCACGTCTCTGATTAGGAATGTGCTGTACTCTCACTGCAAAAGATTACTGGGGGATGAATATATTAACTATTTAATTGAACAGAGCATAGATCCTATCCTAAGGGTATAGCATTATTCAACAAAGCTTTTGAGAATGTTAAGGCATTTGGAATTTAAGCCTTCTGAAATGTAGATATGACTATCACGAGATCACTTTTATTTTCATTTAGTACCTCCTATTTGGAAAATGTCCTCGAATCAGCTTTTATTTCATGCTCATGACTAAGAAATACTAAGGAAGACAGAATGATATCAGCCACATGCATGGAAGATTTCATGAAAAAGTTCAAAACTGGGATATTATTCTCATTTTACACATGAAGAAAGTACAAGTAAGGAAGTCTTCCTAATCTTAAATAGATTAGTAAAATCCCAACCATTTTCATAGTGCTAATTTGTGTGATTTTGTCACCAGCTTCGAAATGTAAATTATTCCTAACGGGCCCCAAAGTAGCCTTTTCCAAAGAAGTTTCTGCAAAACATTAGTCTAAGATATAGCCCTACTTCCTCTTCAGCCAAATATCCCAGATAAAAAGCACTACTTACTTAAATAAGCTTTGAGAACACCATATTTTACGTGCTGTGCTTGGATAGCCATAATTTATGTCTTCAAAGACTGTGAGGTCCTTTCATGAAGAGACTTGTTTAATTTTAGATTGTCCAAATTTATGACAAGAAACCTTTTATTGAGTTACTTATAATGTACTACAAAACCAACTTTAAAGAAAGTTCTCTCAGGACATCGACTTTAATGTGAAATAATCATCTCTTTTCTCAACATTTGTGGGAAACACTTGAAGTATCTCTGAGTGATTCACACTAAGTTCAACAAGTGAGCACTTAATCTTTCTTTGACAAAAGGCTAAAGAATGAGGATACTTTTTTTTTTTAATTCAGTCTTTTGTGGTGAAGGTAAAGTATCCATATCCGCATTGTCTGCACAGACTGCAAGAACCATCTGCTGGGCTTGGTGGTAACCCCTTCCATCCTGACTTCCTTCCCCAGGTGATGTGTGGCTCAGGATACACCTTCCTGGAGCGTGCCTGTAGTTGCCATGGCTACTCCCAAGCAAGTCCTGCGTGAATGAACCTGGTGCTGTTCCGAGGCTCCACAGCCAGCCCCGTAGATCACAAATGTCTTGGATGGTTCTCCCCTTCCAGTGATATAATTGGATCCATTGCTCATCTGTCATGACCAAAGTAGAAACAGACAACAGGCCATCTGTTCCATCTTTCCAAGTTCTTCCTCAGCATGAGCCCCATCTCTGCTGCTCATTGTTACCATGGGCAGGTGCACCCATGGTAACGGTCAACCGTGTGGTGTCGGAGCTGCCCACTTAGCTGCTTGAGTGACACTGACTCAGCATCAATTCTTTCATTAGTTCAAGGGGCTCTTCTTACCAGGTTCTGGGAATGAAGAGCTAATGTAGATGCTTTATATTTCCTGGAGGCTCTCTCCTTGTGCTCATTTAATGTATTTTATGGCCCATGTGTCCTCTGCAAACGGCTAGATCTGTTTTGCCCGAGTGTGAAGAATAATTAAGATCATTCTAAGTCAAATGAAGTGTTGAAACACATTGTCAGAGGATCTTGAGCATTGTAAGTGTCTCGTTACCTCTGACACTATGTAATGGGGCATGTTGTCACTCTGTTTCTTTCCTCTGAAATATCCATGCTGGGGCTTTCCCTCCCTACCTCCACTTCTCTATGTGTCAAGAAGCCACCACACACCTGTAGTCAGGTGTCATAAAGTGCACCAGGCTGATAAGAGAGAGACTAGTGCTTAGACGATGCTCAGCAAAGCCTTGCAGCACCATCTGCTGAATTATCCCTGGGCGAAGGTGAGGTGCAGCAGGTGTGAAGAAGACACATCTCCCAGAGCAGCAGCAGCACAAACATCACCCATGTGTCTCCCGCCGGCTTTGTGCCTCCTCCTTCACATGGTAACCACATCGGCTGCAGGACTGGGCGAGCTCCTGCTGTCCTTGTCCCCCTCCTCCTCCACTCCACCCTGGGAGCATTTGCCTGTGCCTAAGCAGCAGAAGTGACCCTCTCCATGAGGTGGAAACCAATGGATTCTGACTTGAAAATAGTCATTCTAAATATATCTGAGCTGACAGTTAATGAGCACTTAATATTTGCCGGGCGCACTGTTAATGCCTTACACATCCTGTCAGAGTTTATCCTCACATTAACTCATTCCGAAGGCTGCAATTATCCCATTTTATATTTGGGAAAATTCAGGCTTAGAGACTCTCATTTACCCCAAGCCACACACAGCCTTCAGTTGGTAAAGCTGAATGCAAATCTGTGTCTCCATGACCCCACAGGCCATGTCCGTAGCCTCTTCACTATGCTGCGTGTTTCTGGGCTGCCTGTCCCTATCATCTATGTATTTCCAGGTATCCCATGGCTCAGTCTGTGTTCTGTCTGCCAAAATATTTCCTGACATAGCCCCTCACTGCTATGGCTTCCCCACCCTTGTGGACAGATCCTTTTCCCAGGCCCTCAGCCCTTCCTGCCTGCCCTAGCGTGCTCTTGTCAACCAGATCACATCCAATCAAACCCAAACTCTTGACACTCCCATTTACCAAAAAGCTATGCTTAAGATAGAAGACACATGACACAGGAGAAGCTAGACATGGGATACTGCGGGCCACTGCCCCTTAGAATAACTAGCAATGCTTACTTTTGTGTAACACTTTGCAATTGACAAAGCAATTTAGCATATTCCCTCATTTAAAATGAATGAATAGTTCAAGATGCAAATAGCAAAATGACTGTCTGCAGGAGAGCCAGTCCAAGTACAAATTGGCACTCAGGCCCTTCTCCAATGAAGAAGGGAAATGTTTGCACCACTGACAAAGTACACTTAAATAAATCTATAAAAGTAGTTAGTGGGCTTTTTCTTCTTTTAATTCAAAGTTTATTTTTATTCATTGATTGATTACATAGAGACTTTTACAAATTCAAATATGCAGTAGGAACAGTTGGCAAATTCATTAAACTTGATGTTTCTACTTCTCTTTCCCCAAAGTAACCAATTGTTTGGGAAAATAGCAACGTTAATTACTGCCAATTGTTAACTGCAAATATATTTGCACTTTCACAATCATGGCATGTTTGCATTTCACACGGCTTCTGTTTTATAACCTGGAGCAAGTCTCCATTAACATTTGTTTTTTAACAAGATGATTAGAAAAGGCAGTGGGTTAGCAAATAAGCAAATAATTACCTTTGGTTAAAAGTCCTTGTTTAGGTCCAATTTGAAGATGTGCTGTTATTTTTTCCTACCATGAACATGAACCTCCAAATAACCTTCAGCTACACCTTCTGTAAACTTTGCAGAGTGATTGTGTATCTGTGTCCATATTACAGATGGGGGCTAGGTGTCCTCTCAAACCCAGAGCATCCCAGACAGGCAGGCCCTCTGCAGGTTCTGGCCCTCATTCTTTGCCCCTACTCAGCATCTTGCCAGCATCTTGTTTTCTTGATGGCCAATTTCAAAAGGTTCATCTATGGAATTATTTTGAATGCCTCTTCTCACTTCTTGGAAGGTTTGTTGAGGGTCCCCAAGATCATCTTCAAGTTCAGTGACATACTAGAAGGACTCACAGAACTCCAAAAAGCTGTTACATAATCATGTTTCTGGCTTAGTACAGTGAAAGGATACACACCAAAATCACCATTGGCCCATGGGGAGGAATCCAGAAGAAACCAGCATGAGTTTCCAGGTGTTCTCTGCCAGGAGAGTCACAGGACATTATTCATTCTCTCAGTCTGCTGAGTTAACTCTTTACTGCACTTCCTGAAGAAAGAATATTGTAAAATATTGGTTTAAACTTCTCTAAGGGATCCCTGGGTGGCACAGCGGTTTGGCGCCTGCCTTTGGCCCAGGGCACAATCCTGGAGACCCGGGATCGAATCCCACATCGGGCTCCCGGTGCATGGAGCCTGCTTCTCCCTCTGCCTATGTCTCTGCGCCTCTCTCTCTCTCTCTCTCTCTCTCTCTCTCTGTGACTATCATAAATAAATAAAAAATAAAAAAAATTAAAAAAAATAAAAAAAATAAACTTCTCTAATTAGTTTTGTGCTGATCATCTTCATTAACCCAAGAAAGCAGTGGACCTGTAGCAGCTCTAAAAGCTGTAGATATGAAGATGATAAAAATGTGGTAGATCTAGAAATTTTTAAATACCCTTTACATAGCCCTTTTAAATTGGTGGGAGAGGGGAACACTAGGGAATTCTTATTGGATGGCTACTAAATTATTGAACACATTAATACATTTATCATAGATCTCATTGTTTTACAACCAAGATTACTTTCCGTGTGTCGCATACACTTTAGAGAACAAAGAGGCCCGTTCTATAATAAGTGTGTTTCATACAATTGTGCTTGATTTGATGGAACCCTTGTGATAGAGGCAACAAGATAGAACAGAAGGAGCAGGGCAGCAGGGCTTCTGATCCGCCACTTAATAGTTATGGCTTTATCAGCAAATTCACATCTCTGGATTCTGCTTTCCTAAACCAAAAAACTAATGCCTAGACTGTGTGGTTCCTAAGATCTTGTGGTAGCTGCTGATGCTCCAAATGCTTCTGGCTCTCTGCTTTCTGGGACCTGGTAAGACTTCATCCCCTTGAAGTTTTGGGCAATGAGATATGAGTACAAGTGACATGTGCCACTTCTGGTTGAAGCCTTAAGAGCCAGAATGCTGGGGATCCCTGGGTGGCTCAGCGGTTTGGCGCCTGCCTTTGGCCCAGGGCAGGATCCTGGAGTCCAGGGATCGAGTCCCACGTCGGGTTCCCGGCATGGAGCCTGCTTCTCCCTCTGCCTGTGTCTCTGTCTCTCTCTCTCTTTCTCTATCATAAATAAAGAAATAAAATCTTTAAAAAAAAAAAAAAAGAGCCAGAATGCTATTTGCTATATACCATACCCTCTGCTGTGGAACCATGGGAGCATCTTTTAAAATGGAGAACCCACCATCCTGATACCCTGATAAGCAGAGACTCCTGCTGAGTTATGTTGGACATATGGCTCAAATACAAGATAAACTTATGTCAGTAAAAACTACTAAGACTTGGGGCTGCTGCCACAATATCTACCAAAGTTAACCTATCCTCATTGATAGATGTCTTTGGTCCCCATCCCAAACCCCATTGTTTATAAAGGCAAATATCCTTTGAAAGCAGCCTGTTGTCCATTCTCACCCCAACCCTCTGAAGCCCAACAGAATCCTGCCTGAAAGTTTGTAGTTGGTTGTTTATCCCTGTTAAGTAGTTTTGACACCTCCATTCTGAAGAACTGAAGTCCTCAAGGGCCTCTTTATGCATCAAGCCATGAGACTCTCATTTCTACAATATTTTGAGATATCTTGGTTTATCTCTCATCCCCAAATCCCAGCCTTTGGGATGGGGGAGCCTAGACTTGGACCCTACCCAGTTAGCAGCCCCCCACCCTGATTGCTGCCAGCCCAATGGTGTGTATTTCCTGGAGCTGCTGCAGAGAAGCACCACAGACTGAGTGACTTAATGATGGAAATCTATTGCCTCAGTTCAGGAGTCCAGAAGTCAAAGATCCTGGTGTTAGCAGAATTGATTCCTCCTGAAGACTATGAGGGGATAATCTGTTCTCCTGGCTTGTGGTGATTTGCCAACAATCTTTGGCATTGTTGGCTTGTTGAAGTATCACCCTGATCTCTGCCTCAGTGTTCACATGGCATTCACCCACTATACTTGTCTCCGTGTCCAAATTTCACCTCTTGATAAGTGCACCATGGGTTTGGAGGCCTACCCTACGTAGGCATGATCTCATCTTAACTAACTATATCTGCAGGGACCTTATTTCTAAATAGTCACATTCTGAGATATTGGGGGTTAGAATTTTAACATATTCTTTTTCTTTCTTTCTCTTTCTCTTTTTTTTGGCAGTGGAGAGAGAGGTACAATTCAACCCATAGTACCCACTGTTCTGTAGATCCACTGGGAACACGTTTTCTTGAATGACCAAACTCTGTTTCTGATAATCCTATCATTACAACCCTCCACTCCCAAAGTCATGCCTTCAGCCTACTCCCAGACTTATTATCCTCCTTGTATCTTGCATCTTGCTGAAACTAGATTATTTTCTAATTTACAATAAAGTATAACATACTTGATCATAGATTGATTTGTTTATCCAAGAAACACTCATTTTAGTGCATCCTTTTATCTACTGGGAATTGAATGCATTTCCTCTTCCTTAAGAGCTCACAGCTTAAGTGGGGAGCAAAATCTATGCCTGGTTAAGAACAAGACTTTCCCATAGTTAATTTCATATGACCCTCCACAACCCTGTGAGAATTTCATTATCACTATTAAACAAATGTGGGAAGGGACATTCAGTAAAAAGTACTGGGATATCATTGCAATTCTGTCAAGAAGCAAGAATTCCCATCCCTTTCAAGGTCCTTCTAGCTGGACTAAGAATCAAATTGATAGGAGATAGATTAACAGGAGGAAATCAAATTTAATTTTGTGCACACAAGGAGTCTACACAGATATGGAAATTCCAGAGACATTCAAGCAAAATGAGGTATATTTGTCATCCGCAGCTAAGGAGAATGAGGTAGATGCTAGGACTTCAGGGGAAAGCCATGCAATTTTCAGGAAGATGAAAAAGAGTATGGTTTGGTAAACAAATATTTTCTGGACCATTCAGAAACAGTGGAGCTTGGAAAGAAATTTTAATGAACAGACTGCTGAATTCCTCCCAGCCTACCACCCCTAATCCATATTATACTGTAGTTACTCCTTGTGATAGCCCTCTTCCTCGAGCAGGTCCTCTATCTGAATTCATTTTAGGCAGTTTTGGGGAGCAGTGGAGGGAGTAAAAAGCTTTTCCTGAATCTGGTGTGTCTTGATTGCTTTTAACTCAAGAAAATCTTTATGCCAAAGTGACTCTTCTTGGTCTGCCAAGAAGATGCCTGCCCTTGGTTCCTACAATCCAAAGAAAATCAGAAAGCACAAAATAAAGGATTAGAAAGTAAGAGAAGACATAGTAAAGGTAAAATCCAAGTTGGACCTTATATTAGTTGGAGAAAATGGTGGAAATATTCATACTAAAAATATTGTCAGAAAAGTTATCCCCAGTTTATAGCATTGACTTTATTGAAAAGGAAACAATGCACCTTAAGACATTCTGGTGACATCATGATGATTTCCAGAAACACAATAAAAAAAAAATGATCTGTACTTGTGATAATTTCTTTAGCCAGTGCCAGTGAAAGGAAAACTACCCTGTGAGAATGCTTATTTTTAAGATAGAAGTAAGTCAATTAATGGACCACCTTTATTTTGTGTGGTGTTGCACACTGAATTATGTCCTTTCTAAAAACTTTGTTGGAGTCCTCACCCCTAGCATTTCAGAATGTGACCATACCTGGAGACAGGGTTTTTACAGAGATAATTAAGGTAAAATGAGGTCATTAGTGTGAGCCCTAATCCATTATGACTGGTGTTCCTATCAGAAGAGGAAATTTAGACACAGAAACACAAAGAGGGAAAATGATGTGAAGACAGGGGGAGAAGATAGCCATCTAGAAGCTGAGGCCAGGGGCCTGGACTAGATCCTTCCCTCATGGCCCTCCAACAAAATCAACCCTGGTAACACCTTTATCTCTGACTTCCAGCCTCCAGAAATGCGAAGAAACAAATTTCTGTTGTGTAAACTCTCCAGTCTGTGGTACTTTGTTATGGCGGCCCTAGTAACTGTGACTGATTCTTTTTAATTAAAAAAAAAAATTAATAAGGGATTAGAACTTAAAGGCAATACAAAAAAGCTTCCCCTCTTTTTTTCTTTTTTCTTTTTTTAAGATTTTATATATTTATTCATGAGAGACACAGAGAAAAAGAGACAGGCAGAGACACAGGCAGAGGGAGAAGCAGGCTCCAAGCAGGGAGCCCTGTCTCCAGGATCACACCCTGGATTGAAGGTGGTGCTAAACTGCTGACCCAGCAGGGCTGCCCTCTTTTTTTAGAAAACTTCCACTAATAGTTTCATATTCAGAAACACACATACTGTAACATATAGCAAAAAATAATAGACATGTAATTTATAGTAAATTTATGTTCCTGGAACTCTTGGAATTTCTTAAGTGTTGAGAATGAGAAAGTATCTTTTGTTATGTTAATGAAGTGACCTTTGGAAAACCTAACCAAAGGTTGGGGGCTAGTTGCCAGGGGAACCAACCAGTGATTGAGGGATTGGAACTTTTATATCCTTCCCACCACCCTGGATCTTGGGGGAATGGAAAGGAGCTGGAGATTGAGTCCAATCACCAATGGACAAGGATTTCATCAGTAAGATCTGTGTAATAAGTCCTCTATAAACACAAAAGGATTGGGTTCATAGAGCTTCCAGCTTGGTCAACCAAAGTGTGTACATGTATCCCTGTACAGGGCCCCAAACTCCTCAGAGATGGAAGCTCTTGTCCTCTAGATTTCATCCTACATATCTCTTCATCTGGCTCTTAATTTATATCCTTTAATATCCTTTGTAATAAACTGGTGAATAAACCGGTTTCCTGAATCCTGTGAGCTACTCTAGCCAACTCATCAAACCCAAGAAGAGGGTTATGAGAAGCTCTGATTTATAGCCAGTCTGTCCATAGTCCAGTTAACATGCTAAGTTGGGGACTGGCATCTGAAGTGGGGATGGTCTTATGGGAGTGAGCCCTCAAGATGCTATCTCCAGATGAACAGTGTCAAAATTGAGTTGAACTGTAGGACACCCAGCTGGTATAGAATTGCTTGTTGTAGAGAAAAAACTCACACATCAAAATTGGTGCCACAATCGGTCTAAATATTATTGGTGTATTTGACACACACTTGCAGGGATAGAAGAGTGATCCTGAAAGAGATAAATTTGTAGCTTATTTTCTAGGAAGAAGGTTAACTTATACCACAGCATGATAGCAATAGTCAGATGCACTGAAAGAATGAAAAGAAATAGGTGAGAAAATAAAAAGAAG